AACAACATTAACAACAATATTAAAGTTCAATTTCAAATTGAATTTTTTATTTTCAAATTCAAAAGTTCCTTTAAAAAATGTATATTATATTTTTTTTATAATTCCACACGAATTGCAAATTGTAAACCTTAAAAATACCGCCATTCACATATTATTATATTTGTTATTATAATACTCGAAATAAGTTTTTCGTTCCTTGCAGCACTCTCGCGGGTACTATACTCAGTTCAGGTTAAGATTGAACCGGCTTCGCGCATGCAGACTGAGCCGCCGAACAGTGCCTGACCCCCCCCCCATGCGATGGCTCTGCGTTCTATGATTGGCCGACAGTCATCGCCGGCTGTCGTCGATCGTCGGAACCGGTGCTGGCGGCCGTGCATACGCTCCCACAGGTGTCCGGAATTCGCGAAAAAAACGTGTTTCGGTCGAGGGAGTGGTTCAATCTTAATCTGAACAGAGTATAAGATGATATTATTAATTCGGTATCATAGACAAAGTACCTTGGCACGGAAACCTCGGCGAAACCCTGAGTATGCGTCTTATTCATATATTATTTGATATTGATTTACACATTTTCTCCGACCAATAGCCCCGCGTGATAGATATATAGGCTTAAGGGTTAAGTGTTGACGTATATGATATTAGGTTCATTTCGGTTCAATCGCATTATCGACTTTTTCTCGATGGCCTGCAAAGGTTTGCGCAAACTACATTATTAACATCATCACCGGAAGAGCACTCTGCACAATAATAATGGCCTCACGACGATTCCTGCTCGTTTAACCGTAAACGGAGCAAATCGTGTAGGTATAATTCCCTACGATATACTTCGATAACCTCCAGTAGTAGTACCCTGGGTGTACACGCCACCGGTGTGTTGTTATATTATATTATGGACATTGGACGTAAACGGTAGACTCGACACAGGGGCGTATTTATGGGGGAGGCTGGGTGGGCTCCAGCCCCCCCTGAAATTTCAAGAAAATCCAAAAAATATGAATGTCAATAAAACTTTATTTGTTGGGTAAAAAAGCTTGAAAATTTAATACAAGGCTCCTGCTATATTGTTACAATAGCAGTTGAAAAATATTAAAAATCCTTAGTCATAGTTTTTTTATAAGCATTTAAAGTTCGAATCTTGACAAAATACTGAAAGATCACAAAACTTAAAATTTTGCTGAATGTTTTCATTTTTTATACACCAAAAAAATTTGAAAATATTTTGCCTCTTTTTGAGCTATTTACGGACATTGACAGTTTTCATTTTTCTTAGTTTTTTTTCTATAAATATCAATAAAAAATTTTTTGTTGGGTAAAAAGCGTGAAAATTTAACGCGAGGCTCCTGATATATTGTAACAATATTAGTTGAAAAATATTAAAAATACATACCTAGGCACAATTTTTTCTTATAATCATTTAAAGTTCGAATTTTGACAAAATTTATCAAATTTAAAATATAATAAATATTTTGTAATTAAAAATTTATAAAATGTTCAATTTTCATAGTTAAGGATTAAAAATTTAAAACAATGAACCACGTAAATAGGTAAATATATAAATTACTTTATTCACAATAATATCATCAAATATACTTGGTAATATCATAGTCCGACTGACCGTTTTCGCTTAGAATCGTTTTTCTTATACAATGATATTATATCATTGAATTCAAATTTTACACCATCCATTACAGTTACCCACTTGTTACCTACTGTACAGCAGAGCGACATCCACTTACCCACTTTTTGTTTATTGTGTGACTATGTTGATAATTTTGTTCAGCCCCTCCCGAAATAAAATTCTGGATACGCGCCTGACTCGACAATATGCCATTGAACAAATCAACACGAAATATGTGTAACGATCGCATTTCAACGCGGAAACAGAATTTGTCAAGCTGTAATAATAGTAATAATACATTAACTCTTCAGACTTAATCATGCTGGTATATCATTGTATATTATTACACGATTACGATATTATATTATATTATACCTACCGATATTTTGAGCATCAGTCATATACTCCTATCTTACAAATCTTTACGGTATTTTATAGACTCCATTGAAATCATCAAGACCATGCGTGAATCTAGAACTCCCTCCTCCCCTGAATCTGAGATCGCATAAGACAGCCTTGGACAAACTCACGATGTTAAAGTGTCATTGGCGTCAATGAGTCGTTTTGTCGATGACGACGACGACGAGATTTTGTGAAAAGTCCGTTTTGGGGGAGTGTGAAAAAAATGTCACCCCGTTCCGCATGTAGAACTCGAGAATTCCAGGAAATGAGAACTAGCACGGTAGTATGTACTTTCCCCACACAAAAATAAATAAATAATTATATCAATATAATTTAATAGCCATCCAGATAAACACTTTTATAAATATAATATAATTATACTTACATTACCGCTGAGGATAATATCTTCTTATCGGTTAAGTAAGAGTTTGTAGGTATAAATAAAAAAAAACAAACAATAATTTAAGTATGTTCTATTGTTCTACTAATAAGTTATTCCGATATGCAGTAAAAAGCCGTTAAGTTTTATGAAAAAGAAAATATATATATATACATAATATAATAGGAGATAAAAAAGTAAAATAAAATTATATAAGAATATAAATAGCAATAATATTATATAATCAGATTGACATTACATACATATAACTTGTATACATAGGTTATCAATATTAACCATGTTTTGATCAATTGTTAAGGTATATTTTTTTAAAATACTAGACCTATTAACTTTTTATAGTTTAAACTTTATTTAATGTGTTTAAACTTAAGTGTGGTGAAAACATCTGTTTTATTTTAACGTCATTAGATTGTAGGAATATCTATCTAAATCGATCGTGATTTCTGTTGAGCATCCCGACGTTATCAACTTAAACCGTGTATTTGATAAACACATTTTGTGATAATATTCTAATTGGTATAAAATATGTATAATATTGTTCAATGGTTTACCTATTATTCCACTATATTTTTTAATGGCGTTTTCCATCTGTTTAATTAATTTGCCCAACACTGGTTACACTTGACAACCCTACAACCTACACCACGCCCCACGGGTTTACATGGCAACTGTGCTTACAGTGCTACACTGTTGAGCCATAATACGAAGTGGAATATTATATTGTCGCTTATCAACAAAATATACCTAATTTGTGACACCAGCACACCATAACGTCCGAAATTCATGGTATCGTTTTTCATCACCCTTGTAGATACAAATAGGTATATAGATACACCTTCATAATATGATTATGGAATTTGCGCTATCTACTGCACGATGGTTCTAAATATCAGGGCACTGGAGCAGTCGGATGAAAAAAGCTCTACATTTTTATGTCAATAAACTGGTATCATATTATATGTTTTCACTTTTGAATATTTAGAGTGTCAAAAGTGAGGAATGTTGTGTTTCATAGTTATTTTGATTATTATGATTCTTGTGTTGTTATTTTGAAAAGTATATTTACTTTAAATTTTAAATGCTCAAAGTGTAAAATGTTGAAGCATGAGGGTATATTAGTTATAACTAAAATTGGGGAGTTCTTGTGTTGCGTGTTTTTTTATAGTAGTCGTAGATTAGTCTAGGTAAGACATACATTTGGTATGTGAGATTTTGAATTTAAATTCAAAGTTTTAGTTTACATATTTCTACATACTTGGTCATATTTTAGAAAAGTACATATTTTTTTAAAAATTTGCTAATATATAAGTTCATTTTTTGGATTTTTATATTTTTATGAATGTAAAATTGTCAGGCAACATTTTGTTTGGATAAATACATCCCAAAACAAATAATCTTTACAAGAAGTCTTTTTATCGAATAATAAACGACATTTTTATCAACAGTCGTATGGTTAGAAATTGAACGACGTCTAGATTCTATATTGTACGAAGAATCAAAAATCAGAACCAATTTTTTCGGTAGTTATACTTTGATGTTATTGCATCGGTTGTTATTTCGTATTCGAGTCCAATGCGTGGCAGGAACAAACCATTTTCATAATAATATTATTATACAATATTATTATCTACATCCATTAATTAATTTGTTTTTATCAATACTCCGCGTCACAAGAGAAGTGGAACCCGTGTCCGGACAGAAGTAAGTTTGATTCCGCACATTGCCAGCTGCAGGTATTTGACATACACTAAATGGCGCAAAATGGGGAATGCCTACAGTCAGCATGCGCAAAACGGGTTCCTTCTCTCGTCGCACGGAGTATAGTACCTACGTTGATTTTGTTTTTGATTTTTTAGCCTAAAATATTAATATTATAGGTATACTCATCGTATTAATCTGTACTGCAGCATACCCGAGTTAGGTTAGGTTAATCGATTTATTTTTAATTCATAAGTAATTGTCAATTATTATTAGCTTTAAATTATTTTTGACGTTTTACAATAAATTGTTAAGTGTATCTAACCTATTATCGTTTTTTTTCAAACAAAAACAATTTTACCTGCATATTTTGGTGATTTTAATTGTATATTTCAAGGGTTTTTAGTGCAATAAAGCCCGAACCCTAGTTCTCAGCACTATCCCGTTCCCGGAAACGTTTCCCAAAATGTTCGTGTCCCGAGGGAACAGAATATAACAAACCCAGATTGTTCCAAACAAACAGACGATATCTATAGGTATAATCGGTGCATTGATAGTATTTAAACGTAGTTTTTCGAACTTCCGGCAGCAGCACATATATATACAATAGAATATTATATAGTTCCGTTCGGAGTTGTTTTATATATATTATCATTGCGAAGACGTCAATACAAAACTTCGGTTAGGGTTATAATGCTACCCCCGCCCCCGTCCATGGAACCACTTGCAATAATTATTATTATTATACGACCACTCAGCTACGGTATAGAGAAAAACCGACAACCACTTGTCACGTCTATTGACGCATAATACTGCATATATCTATAATATTATTATGTTATATTAATCGATTTCGTGGAACTTCATTATCTGTTTCAGGCCAAGCTCAGTTCGTATCGTTCGCGGACCAAACGGAGACGTCGGTCTAGACGGCGGCTACGTCTGCCGAATAGGACGGCAATAAAACAAACATCAAACTATCACTATAATAAATATTCTATACATTTTAAATTTATATTATTATTATTATTATTATAATTATTATTGTTATTAATTGATTATATTTTTATTCACTATCCGTCGACGCGCACGTCGTTTTTGATAATAATATAATATAATATAGTCTCCGCGAAATAGATAAAAATGAGAAAAAATGTTTAAAAAAAAGCACACTACAAGTCAATTAGAAGAAGAAAAAAACCGTATTTCACGCCGACGCGTAAGTTTTTCCCACACACACTTGCTCTCTATAATCACTCTCCGCAGAAGACATATATAGGTATATACATCCTACAAAGGTACATTATATTATATTATATATAGGTATGTGGTATACACATGCGACATGCCACCACCCGTCAATATTATTATATAGGTAGGTAATACTCACTTTCGGCTGCGTTTATCGCATTACACGTTCGAACGGTTACTTTATTTTTTTTTTCCCCCATTTAACGCTTTAGTACATCGTATTCGTCGTTGCGACATTTACGGTGCACACACGTCCCGCGAGTTTTCTTGAAACCGAATTATTACATTTGGCGAGGTCGCCAAACCGACAACGCTGCAACGAAATTCGACGGGAACCAAAAATAATAAAATTTATACAAAAAAATGCATAACGCCGGCCAGTTAACGAGCGTCTTCGTTGCGGAGCAATGTTTTTTTTTTATATAATTAACGTATGTCACGAAACGATCAGATAGATGGGCAATATACAGATACCTACGTGGAAAAAACTACTTAAATACAACACAATATTAATATAATATAAAACTTCTATACAGGCGCATCAGTATGTTAACCTCTATAGAGTAGGTATACACTATATAGATACACGTTCGATGTACGAGGAAACTTCAACATTAATTCGAAAAGATACTATAGTTACTTACATTTGTTTTTTTTTTTTAATAATTACAAAATCGCATTAGGTACACACTATAACTTTTACATTAGACAAGCTCGAAGCAAAAAATTTCATAAAGGGGGAGTGGAGGGCAAAAAGTTTTCTTTAAACCTATTAAACCAATTTAAACCTTTGTTAAACATTAATATATTAACTGTCGGATATCTATGGGTGGTGAGGGGGAAACTTTCCCCCCATGGTAAGAAAATTTGGTCATTCATTGTAAAATAATTTGATATAATTTATTTGACTTAGTTTATTATTCATAGTTAACTAAGTGTATCACTCGGGACGAGTAACGATAGCGCAATACATTACCTTCGTCAGAACTTATTTGCATAAATTCATAAAAAAAAAGTTCATACATATTATATTAATATGATGATTTGCATCTAGTATTTCTTTTAACGCAAAACAAAATAGAGTACCTATTATATAAGATACGCGGAAGAAAAACGAATCTAAACACAGGGAAAAATATATGTTTCTTAGATACACATACTTGCCCACCGTCACGGTAATATACCAGCTATCTATATAATACCAATAGTTTCTGTTTGCAATTCCTTCCGAAATGTCCGCGGCCGTTCAAAGGTTTTCTCGTCGGTCTCGTCTAGCTATGTCCGAAACGTTTAAATTTCACTCGATTTGTCGAAATTCCGAATTGAAGTCGTAGGCGACCCGATCTGGAGGTTAGGTTATGGCATATTATAACATATTATTGTATTCTTGAAGACGATCCGTCGACTTGTCGGCCGACAGATATTGTTGTCGCCGTTGAGGACTACTGTGTCGACCGGGGCGAAATTTCATGGGCGACCACCGACCGCCGTTTCAGCCGAGCTCACGACTATAATAATATAATTATAGTAAAACGCTATACGATAAATATTATTGTTACAATTAATAATTCACGAAACGGCGTGTGCAGTAAACAGACATAAAAATAATATTGTTATATTATATCGTTGTAGTGGGAATAATATTATTACAGTTATTATTATTATTATTATTGGTATCATCGAGCGGGGTGGTGGGTTCGTCTCTCGCGTTGTTATATAATAATATAAACGTCGCCTCACGTGTGTGCGTCTTTTCTCCTCCGACACAGCTCGCTGTCTTTGAGTCGCTTGGAGATTCCGGGGCCTTGGGCGATTTCGCGTCTTCCCGACCCGACCGGGTCGTATCGTATAAAATATTACACATCTGAGAGTTCTTTCTTTGTACTGCGATATTCTTATCTCCGCCTACGCTTAACCGTCGCTTGTCAATCGCACGTCGTCGACGACAAAAAACGTCGACCATATAGTAAAACGCCTCCGGGCACGATGACGATAATAATATACCTTTGACACGCCGCTGCAGACGAGCAGTGAGAACGTTCGGCGCTTTTCGTTGTGAACTAGAAAAAAACTAATCCTCCAACGTCCTCGGAGTCGATCGAATAACGACATTATAAAAACACCTGTGCGCTAAGACGACGAGAGCCACCTGCCCGTGCGAGCGCCCGTCCCCAACGAAAAGCGCCAGTTTTCGCCGGAGACCGAGTGTCGAGGGTGCGAAAATGGCGCTTAGATGACGACGAAGATAATAATAATAATAACTTGCAGACCGCTTATTCCTACTTTAACCGCTTCCGGTGTTGACGAATTATTACTCGCGCCACTATAATATAATAACAATATTATAATGACGTCCGCCCAAACTATAGGCGATTATATCGCAATAATAATAGTAATAAACCGTTTCGTGTGTAATAACGATATAATATTATACGTCGTGCAATAGTCGATGATAAATCTGAAATCGCCAGACCTGCAGCTATATCGTCGCGACATCGACGCAGAACGATGAAATATAATATTATTATTATATAATATTTCCGTAAATACAATTTAATAGACAGATATTAATATTAAACCATTATCGTTATTATTAATAATAACAATACCTACACAGTGGTTGACTACCGTTTTTCTAGGTCAAAATATTATGATTATATCCGATTCGTCCGAAACTCCACACCGCCCTACCTATCTTTCGTCTCTGCGCATCTCGACCACAAGTACCTAGGCCACCTATAATAATAATAATATTATAAAGTACCTACCTATATAATACAATTCGAACGGCGAGCGGCAGTAACCGAACGTGCACACGTTTTTCGTCTGGCAAAGAATTAAGGAACGAGATGACTCCATAAACCTAGAGAAAAAAAAAATGTTACGACCGTATTATATTATTGTGGGCTAACTTTAATGAACTTTCATGATTGTCCGTCGTACACGACGCTGTTGTTGTTATTATTATTATTGTTATCATATTATAAAATATTTACCGTTTGACATATGAGACGGAAAACCCAACGACCTACAACTGTTGTCTCCGTCTTACAATAATGCACAACATGGCAAACTTTAAGTTCAGATTTATCCATTTTAACGCTGAAAGTTTTAATGATATTGTAAATCGGCCTACTATATCAAATTTTAAGGCAAGAACATCATAGGTAATCTATGGCCCCACGTAGGTTTTTTTTTTACATTTTAATTTTAAGCGAGTTTTGAGTCCTTTAAAACTGTAAGTTTTTTGTTAATTTAAAAATGCTCATAACTTGGATAGAAAATGAAACAAAAAATAAACACTTCGTGGGGCAATTATATAAGTAACAGAGTCAAATATTCTGAACCTAAGACTTGCATAGTATTATGTTGTGCGTTTGTAAGACAGATCTACTACAAGTATGACCATGACATTTCCTTAAAGAGAAACGAATCCGGAAACAAAAAAATTATCTAAGAAAATTTGTAAGCCCACACGATTTCGACTTTTAATAATTACCCACTATTGTTATTTTTTTGCACTTTATGAAAAGTTAGCAGAAACTACGTTAGAGCACTGCGAGGAAAACAATGTATCTACTTTGATTTCTTTATTTCAAAATTAATTTATTCTATAGTGTTACAATTAATAATTATTAATATAGGTACTCATCAGTACATATTATTATTATTACTATTATAATATATATATACTATTTTTTGAAAACCTTAGACTATTCTATTTTTAAATTTTATTATTATATAAATGTTATTGAGTTCGTAATATTTATAGCGGGTTACTATTATTATTATTATTATTATTGGTATTTTGTATTTAAATATATTAATTATAAAATATATTTAAAGTAATCGCCTTATTCGAAATTTTAGATTTAAGCCTTGATTACGATTATTTTCGTCGTGAACTTATGAACACCAATACCACTGTTGTTACTATTTTACCGAGCTATTACTGTGATTTAATTTTGTTCTATAACCTCTGTCCGCCTTAACTATAACATCTTCTAAAAGTGACTTATGAATGTACATACATTTTATTTACATAATTTATATCAATTTTTTTTTTCTAAAGCACTTCCCGTTTGTATATAAATATATATCCGTATATAATAAATAAAATCGTTCAAACTTTGAGTTCAAAAAATGCTGGGAATGATAATATTATTGTAATATAAATTATAATAATATGAACCTCACAATTTTTGAAAACGTAAACTTGAACGGCTCTGTGTGTAATACATAAAAATTTAATCAAAAAATTAGACTACCTACCTACGTATATAAATTATTATTATTATTATTATTATTACTATTACTATTATTAGGTACTGTTGTTATTCGGTAGCTTTCGGGGTACCTACAATTTTTTTGTTGATTTTGGTTTACACGTTATACTAAATGTTTGTAATGTTATTTTTATTGTTATTATTCGACAATCAAAACGAATATTATTTAGAATTATTGATAATAGCAGTAGCGATTTTTGTTTAGTTTTACGAAAGTTTATTATATTATTATACAATACTGTTCTTTTTTTAAAAAAAAATTATATTCACTTTGATAAAATACTTTTATTATTAGTTATAATTATATAAAATTATGATGTACACGATAATATATAATATATAATATGGTATTCATGCCCATGCATACCTAACATTGATGTGAACGGTAAATC